TTACACCCGGTAATCTCGGGACCGACGGTTACACCCGATAATCACRCCGCTGACAGTAGCTCACATCGGCCCCCACCGAGCTTCCCGGTTGGTCGGACCTCGGCCAGGTTCACCTCGGCCCTCATACTTAGTATCTGTCAACGCTAATGGTGGTGATCTCGGCGGTCCGAGCTGGGGCATGACTCATGGTCACCTTGGGGCACCAATGGCTGTCCTCCACGTGTCCAGGGTATTCTTTCCCCCAAACAAAGCCATTCATGATATTTGCACATATACTGTCCAGTGGTTGCCGTACAAATTTACTCTCAGAATCTCCACTAAAGGAATACAAGCGCACTTCGAAAACCAACTTGTTGTCTAAGGTCTTTACGGCCGAGGGCTTCTCCTTTAAACAACGAAGATCGTTGTCATAATTTAGACCTCAAACAATCACCAAAACTACTGGATTTATACTATGGATTGTTGTTACTCCTTACGTAACATAATTGTTCTAATCATTCGAATTTTCCATTGTTCCTCGTATCTCGTTTCGTAAGCTCATGGCTACAACCTAAATGGTACAAAAAATATTATTTTTGTTGATCGAAATATTATAATTTCTAGTCTTCAAAATTCTTGGGTTTACTTTCGAGAATTTAAGAAAATCTTTAATGTTACATACCGTTGATTTGTTTACAAATCGTTGAGCAACTAAGCGAAGACCTTGTAAGCACTATTGGGGATCAAAATTACGATTTCCAAAGAAACCATTTCCGTCATCAAAAGAGCAACACCATCTCGGTTGGCTAATGTGGTTGTCAGCGATCACCATTAAACCACTTGCCCCAAGCATGTCAATAACTGCTTCATAGGCTTCAACAATGGTCTTGTTCAACACAAACGGGTTACATTGAGCCAATCCAGATTTTGATTGTTATAAATCAAACAGGACAAAGTTCTCTTCAATCGTCCTATTTGCGTAGCGAGTGAACATGTGGGTTGCATATGTGAGACGCACGCAATTAAACCTCAACTTGATTGCTTCATCTGCTAGTTCTTTCAATGGCCTATGGTTGAGGCCTTCTGCTAGCATGCTCTATGTGTGAGAAGGCCAATTCACGCATACAAGCTTCACTCGACGCCCCGTTTTCGAATCAATGATCCACCTTCCTCGTGTTGAAAGAGGAAGAGAAACAGCTGAAAGAGATGGAGACACAAAGACTAGAGCTAGAAAGAAAAATAACTTGCAAAGTTCTTCCCATTTTTTTAATCTTTTTTTTTGTTGTCGATTGATATCCTCTTTTTCAATTGTGTTGGGAGAATGATTATATCATTCCTTATACATACACCATTCAAATATTTTTAAAGTTTGTTGTAACTTAGAAAACCATTTTTTTTTTATAAATTTAGAAAGGTTATTAGTTAATAAATTATGTGTTGTTCCAACCGTTAGAGTTTGTTGAACAATAGATAAATGTTGCTAACAATCTAACCAAGTCAAGAAACTCCTAACATAGAAGGCTAATGTTCAATCAATCTTTCATCTAAAAAAACTAGAAGTTAATTAAGTTTTCGATGAGAAAAGTTTTTTGTTTCTTGAATATATCTATTGTACCTTTTTGAACATATGTGGAAAAGGAGACAAACAATGCAGAGCACATACAATTCCAAGAAACACATCCACACAACCATATTATTAATATATAACAATAAATTACGTGTTATGGCCAAAGCGGACAATATCATACCATTTTGTAGATACTCAGGAGTACTAGAGTACCATTATTGTCCTCTAACATGATGCTTTTTGTTCATTGATGTAAATTTTGAAATAGTATGATATAAATAAAAAAATGGGCACTTGCAAAAGTATCATAAAAACTAATAACTATTTGAAAATTAGAAACCACATTCCAATTTTTCAAAATAGAATAATTCGAAGGTCGAGCCTATGCATAATAAAGAGAAAAAATCTATGATGATCAACAAAAATTGAGTGCTAACAGATAAGCGGCTAAATATTTTTCTAGATTTATTAATATAGGTTCATTTAGTATGTGCTAAATATTTTTCTAGATTTATTAATATAGGTTCATTTAGTATGTGCTACACCATGACTCCTCCATTCTACATACTACAAATTATACTAAACAAATTATACTAAACTGATTGAGCATTATATGTTGTACTAACAAAAATATAGATTGAAGATTATATGTTGTACTACAAAAATATATAGATCAAAGGTTTATGTATAAAAGAGAATAATAATCTATATTATATATATATATATATTAATAACTAAGTTTAGTTTTGTATTATGTATATTGGTTGTCATATATAAGGGTGTTAATATTTGGTTAGTGTTAGTAGCTTAAGTAGTAGATTGTTTATAAATATGAACGTTTGTAAATCAAGAATTCATTGATGATTAATGGTATACATTCTCAAATTTACATATTAAGTGCTACCTGCTGTTGAATATTTAAATCCTGCTTTTTTTTGCTATCAAATATGTTCAATTTGATTTCAATGAGGTCTGAGTTTTCAAATTATATCGTACTATGGAACCTTCGTCTTTATGCAATTCCCAATGCTTGTAAACTTTTCAGGTTCATTTATTTTCCTTTTTGGTAAGGAATAAAAGGAGAGTATTCTTCATTTAATTCCCTGAGAATCAAATCAAATTTTAATACCTTGGAAAAAAAAGTCTGACTAATTTCCATATCAATAATTAAACTTCCAATTTATTCCTTACCAAAAAGGAAAATAAATACAATCTAGACGCTAGAAAACGAAATGAAAAATAAACCCTAGATGACCCCTACAACTCATTAGTTAAAAAAAAAAAAAAAAGGCCACGCTAATCATTACTTTGCTGCACTTTAAAGATTAACCTAACAAACACTTCCGCTTAATTTATGAAATGCAACCAAAATTCAGTTAGAACGCATTTCATCTTTTAGTTCGTTACAAGTTCTTATCTCCTAGATTCTAGCCTAATACATTGCTATAAATATTGATGAAATACCTGTTTTGCATCATCATCCAACTTGAGAGCATTCAATTTCTAAGAAAGGTAAAAATGTGACGAGAAAACCATTGAAAGATATTGCTTTAGCTTTTATTTTCGTTGTGTTAACTTTTAAGGCCTATTCATTGCCTCTTTCAACGAATGGAAGATGGATCATTGATGCTTCTAGTGGTCACCGTGTGAAGCTAATGTGTGCAAACTGGCCTTCTCACATGCAAGCCATGCTGGCAGAAGGTCTCCATCGTCGGCGGCTCGACGATATTGCCGCCACTGTGGCCAAGTTGCGGTTCAATTGCGTACGTTTGACGTACTCAATCCACATGTTCACACGCCATGCCAACCTGACCGTTAAAGAGTCCTTTGAAAATTTTGATATGAAAGATGCCATGGCGGGCGTCATCCAGAACAACCCTTCTATGTTGAACATGACATTAGTTCAGGCTTATTAAGCTGTGGTCCATTCACTTGGAGCACATGGAGTCATGGTGGTTTCCAATAACCATATTAGTCAGCCAAGATGGTGCTGTAACAATGATGATGGCAATGGTTTCTTTGGAGATCGCTATTTTGATCCTCAAGAATGGCTACAGGGACTCAGTTTGGCAGCTCAAAGCCTAAAGAATAAATCCCAAGTATGATTAAAAGTGTTGATTTCATTTTCTTTTTAATCTTCTTCTTTTGAGCAAAGCTTGTAGTTAGTGAAATAAGGAAAAATCTCCATCATTTTATACTTTACTTTCCATAAGAACCTTTTTAAAACCTCAACCATATTTAATGATGGAATTTAAAACTAGAAATAAGGCTATTATTTTGGTCGTTTGCAGAACAATTTTTAGAGCCTGTTTTATAGAGTTGTCATGTTTAGATTAAGTTACTGCATGCTAATTTTATGTTTTTCGTAAACATCTCATTTTCACTTTTAGAAAGGAGTCAGTTTAAGTTAGGTTTTTTGAAATGTCTTCTTTCTTTTAAAGACATTAATTTTTTTTTTTTTTTTTGCATATAGCTTTTACTTTTATATTTTGATCGTTTGCCTGGTAATAAATATGTAAATGGTGGTAGCAATGAGTTTGAGAAATGAACTACGAGGACCAAATCAAAATGTGGAGAAATGGTTTGAATACATGAGCCAAGGAGCTAAGCTTATTCACCAAACAAACCAAAATTATTTAGTAGTGGTTTATGGGCTGGATTTCGATACCAATCTCAGCTTGTTGAAAAATAGATCTATGGGCTTCAACTTGGACAACAAGCTTGTTTTTTAGGCGCATTTGTACTCTTTTACAAATGACATGCGCGAGCTTTGGATGTCGAAGCCATTAAACACATTCTGTGCTACTGTCAACCAAGGATTTGAAGAGCGAGCTGGGTTTCTAGTGAGAGGACAAAATCCAGTGCCTCTATTTGTGAGTGAATTTGGGATGGATCAAACTGGTGCAAATGAAGGGCAAAATCGATTCTTGAGCTGTTTTTTTACCTATCTTCTTGAGAATGATTTCGATTGGGGCTTATGGGGTTTGCAAGGTAGCTACTACTACAGGAATGGGGTGCGAAATGCCGATGAAACATTTGGCGTCTTAGATTCCAATTGGACAAAAGTTAGGAACCCTAAATTCCTCTTGAAATTTCAGTTCATGCAAGCCCAACTTCAAGGTAGCGTTTGAATTTATATCCTACTACTTTTATGCAGTTTGTTTTCATGAATTATTATTATTATTTTATAAATGAGATTTTTCACTAAGGATATTTTGAAAGCCAAACTCAAACTTTACTTTCTTTCCTTACTAATGATAAATCAAATGTTACTCTTCAAACAGACCGAGTTCAAATCTCTCGACAACGTTCATAATGTATCATCCTCGTAGCGGTGGGTGCGTGTGAATGAACAAAAACTATCAATTAGGAATTAGTAGTTGCAAGATTTTGAATCGGTGGAGTCACGATATAGATGGAGGTCCACTCATGTTGTCGGGCTCTAAATTGTGTTTGAAAGCGGTTGGAAATTGCCTCCCTCCAATTCTCTCTCGTGATTGCTCCAGCCAACAAAGTGCTTGGAGATATGCTTCAAATGCCAAGCTTCAACTGGCATCCATTGATGAACAAGGACAACTCTTATGCTTACATAAGCCTTCTCATTCCATTCCAATTGTGACTAAGAAGTGCAAGTGTCCGAGTGATTCACAATGCAAAGGCAATCCACAAAGCCAATGGTTTAAGCTTGTTCCGTCAAATGTACATCTCAATTAAACTCTAGATGTAATTGTATATTGTTGCAGCATCCTCTAATTAAATTGAATCGATTTTATTATTCATTTATTCATGATGGCATATTATATGATTTGGGCTCCAATAGATACACGTTTTTTTATACTATAACCGGATAATAAAAAGCTCAATGATAAAGCTTTCATTATACCATTATGGTTGTTTATTTTTGCTCCACATTATTTGACTTGGTCAAATGAAAACAACTCCTAACACCTATTTCTTTGTTTAGATGTTTCGAATAATCCTCCACGTAATTCATATTGTATGCAATCTTGCATTTCAAAGTTAATTTATTCAACTTCTTACCAGAGAAGTAGTATTGTATTTGCATGATCTTTTCCAACATTAAAAACTATTCTCTACAATCGAGCATAAGAATGATAGGATTTATATATTATGGATGTTAATTAACAACCAAGCTTTAGTACCGGATATTAGAAGTATTGTTGGGGGGCAAAAAATAATCTTGCCACGTGGAGAACATTGGAAGGATGAAAGGTTAGGGTCTTATCTAAGGGTCATCTTGGACGGGACCGACTTGCCATACCATTGACGAAAATTGTACCCTAAGTACACTAAGTATCTCCAAAACGGTATGATCTTGGCCGTTTTGGGCATAACTGTTGCAACTGTACTTTTGGTTTCACCCAAAAGGTCTCATACTAATGGAGACATTGTCTTATAACAATATACCCATGATATTCCCGTTATTTAGTTTATGTGGGACTTTGGTCGCATTCCCAATACATACTTTGCAAGAAAACACTGCAACGACACTATCCCGCGATTGCGGTTCAACATTAGGCACCTAACTAGTTCGACCTTGGGGGCGAAACCAATAACCATCTGTCGGATGTCCTTTCCAATCCCAACCTATAAATATAGGGTCGTACTTCCACATCAAGTGTCGCGTTTTATCTTAGATTCCATATTAAAGTCAAGCTTATACTTATTTAAGCGTCGAAGTGTTTACCTCTTTTGTGCAAGTCTTTCCTTACTTAGACTATTAGGCTCTTCCCTCGTTGTCATACTTTTGATAGGTTTTACCTCAATCCGAAACGTTTTTCACCGTCCGACGATATAAAGCTTGGCTAGATCGACCAGCCTTGCTCCCATCTACATCACACGCTATTAGTCTTGCACATTTCAGACCAACGATCGCTTCGGTGTTGGCCTCGACATTTGTGGAGGCCGAATTGGACCCTGCCTTTTAGGACCTATTCCCATATGGACGCTTTCTCTTTAAAACGTAGCAAATCCACACACCATGGATGCAATAAAAACTTCAGCAAGTAAAAATGGGTTACGATCAAAAGAGAACAAAACAGGGGCTGAGCTTACCAGGCTTGGAGTTGGAACAAGTTGCTTCAATGGTAGGTGAGAGATGGTGTTGTAGTCCAAAAACAGTTTGTCACTCATCAATATGCTTACCTTCCAAGAGGATTTGTACTGGTTACGAAAGTACTCCATATATCGAAATATCTCTTTTGTCAGACTTGGCACAAGTTTATTGCAACGGAAATGAGGTAAAGTTAGAATGAGGAAGAAGGAGTAAAATGGACATATCTAACTAAGGACGACCATAACTAAGTTCCCAAACCCATGAGAGACATTAAACAAGGACTCATCAAGATCCTCCACAAAAAGCCAATCACAAAAGGCGTAGAACTATTTGCCTTTCCACTACTTAATGGAGGACAGATCCCTCATTAAGCCAGAAGCGGCTGAACGTTAAGTAGTGTCATCCCTTCCTCATTTTGGCACTTCAGCTACCAGAGGACTCCTAAACCGAACAACACGCCACATATATTAGGATCGAGCTGTGCAGGGTCGAGGTTGACCTTACTAAACCCAATTTTGAACACTTTTAAATAAATGGTGTGTTGGGAAATTAATGACCATGTATAATTTTCCCTTCCACAAAAACATCCAATCAGAACCACAATATGCAAATTAGAAAGAAAAAATGTAGAGCACAAGTTAAATGACACGAGAAATTATGTTGGTTCACCACTAAGGGCTACGTCCAGTCTTCCATTCACATGTGGGTAATTCATTAATAATGTTAAAGATTGAATACAAAACTCTCCCGAAAATATCCCTTAGAGGTCCCAACAAAAGTCCCATAGCTTCTAAGTATTTTAACACAATTAATACTCAGGAACAGTAATGAAAACTCACAAGAATCACGATACAATTGCCCCGATTATATCGATCTTGATCTGCCCCAAAGCCTCTGCAAATAACCCGAGCATCTCCTTTAAAACTAGCAGGAAAACCCTATGAAAAATCGGCTGAAACAACTCCAATTTCGGCTTGGTAAAACCTAAAACGAAAAACTGCATATATATAAACATCTAAACAGTGCGATGGCGCTGTCCCCGGTGCCATGGCGCTATAGACAGAATTTTCCGACGCGTCCCCATCTAGACAGCGCTGTGGCGCCCTGCAGGTGTGCCTTGGCACTGCACTTTCGGCCCTTTTTGGCTTGCAGCGTTGGGCTTCCTCTGTTTTTCATCCTTGCTTCGACCCGACGCTTTCCAATTCCACAAGCTTCTCGTTTAACCTATTTACAAAGTCCTCGCTTAAGAAAAAGTCACTAGGGGAGGACCTACTAAGGGTATGATGTGTCTCGTCAGAGATCCCACTAACCAATCTACTATTTGAGCTGCTATTAACTTAACTATAATCCAGCTGCTATGAGAATATCCTGTAGCAAAGATGATTTGGGTTCGGTATTAGGCACCAGCAAGTTCGACCTTCAGGGCGACACAAATAACTACGTGTCGAATGACCTGTCCTAGCTCCACGTATAAATATAGGGCCTCGTTTCCACATCAGGTATCACATTGATCTTGGATGCCATATTAAAGTAGAGCTTATACAGATTTGAGCATTGGAGTTTTTGCCTCTCATGTGCAGGTCTTTCCTTACGTTGAAGCTCAAGCTCTTCCCTCTGTCATACCTTGGTCAGGTTTGACATCAATCTATTTCGTTGCATAAACAAGTATTTTTACCCTTTTTTTGATCTTTTTAATATTATTTATCTTAAGACAGTTTTAGCAACCAAGCCGTAATACCATCTATGAGAAGCATTTTTACCATCTTCTCCTTTTTTCTTTTGAAACTTTTTAGTTAAAATATTCAAAATCCTTTTAATTTGATTTGTCTAAATGAAGTTAAGACGAATGAAATTAAAAATTCATAGTAGGTACTCCATTTTCAATAACTAAACATCTCTGTAGTCTTGTTCTTTTTGTTCTTCCCCATTTTATCAAGGTTCTTGAGATGGCCCTCACCTTGTGGCAATAGCTGCATTTTATTTTTTATTTATCCTTTTCATCTTAGTGAGAGTTTGGACCTTTTGAATTAATTTTGTACCTCCCTTTAGCAAAATGCCTCTCATCAGGAGTGTCACGCTTTAACGCCATCAGCTCCAATTCTTTTGTCTTTATCGCTGATATAAATTCATCTTTTGATATTGTTTCTCTTGCATATTTTAACACCACCTTCACTTCTTTATATGAGTCTAGAAGAGAATTTAACTCTTCTAAAAACAATAAAAATAAAAAATTAACTGTATGAAAGTGTCTCATTTTCACCACCAATCTTCTCTCCTAAGTTCTATGATTCAAAAGACATTTTCTTAAGTTTATCAAGATTTTTACCGAGGGATTTTCGCACTATCCATTCGGTAGGTGAAGAACTTATCTCATACGTACGCCTTTTTTGAAGGTAATTTAGAGAGAAAAATTTAATTTAATTTTTCCCAGGTTTCATATGCAGATTTTAAGTCGATCACTTGCCTCAGAACATCACTGAGATTGCAAATGATTGTTCCATTAGCAATTTACTCCATATTTTATATTTCTTCTTTTGTTATCAACTTGAGTGGAAGAATATGGTAAAAAAGGACCTTTTCAGTCTTTTGTTGTCCAATAACTGCTAAGACTTTGCTTTCTACAGCTCAAATCTCCTTTTCTATAGAATATTTCGATCTCAAATCTCCCATAAACCATTCTTGGAATATGACTTCCTATAATCACAACTATAAAACAAATTTCCTAGGGATCATTAAGAGATAATCAACTATTGATAAAGCTATACAAAAGAAGTTAATTGATGACACAAGAAGGAACAAAAATCATAGCACACGTAGCTATGGTGACAAGAGTTATTTTCACTACTTTTGATGCTGTAAAAAATACTACCCCTCATACAAACCCTTAAAAATGTATTTCTATTGTTTTTATTAAATAGATGAAAATATTTTACCTAAATTTTATAAATTAATGAAATTATTGAAAAAATAGTAGGTTACCTTGTGGATTCAATGTTCCCTACTTTGGTATAAGTTTAAAAAGAGTTTCTAGTAAGAAAAAGATAGCTAAATTTTTGTTGATAAGATTTAATTGAATTTGTTGTCTTTGGCATGTTTTGACAAAATCAAGTTGGAAAACTAGTTTTGTTGGTTTATTATTTTTAAATGTTTTAGTTTGTTTTTTGTTTTTTGTTTTTTGTTTTGCTAAATAAATGTTAAAGGAAGAGATTGAAGGAAAAATAACTGTTTACATGTTGGGAAAACACTTTGGTTGATCCTGAAAATGATCAAGCTTGGAATCTGGGAAGATGGGATGAGGTGTGCCGAACTTTGAAGTACATGCAAAACAAGGTTAACACTAACGACTCCCCGACATTCTGAAAAATATGACATGTTGTCAGGGGCATCCTCGTTGTGTTCTCACCGGCTGGTGTTTTTGAAGGTTGGCTCGTACCTGAAATAGGCATGCCAATAGGCAAAATGTAGATTGGCTCGGCTCCATAAGTTGCAACAAAAATAAAATGGACTTTCATTTTGTGGAAGTTTTCTAAAAACGAAAAATAACCCGCCAAATGAAAGTCGACCAATAACATTAGTAATTGAGCCTAATTTATTGATATCTTGGCAGCTTGAATCAGTACTTAGATCGGTTAATAAGATATTTATTACCTTTCTTAAAATTACAACTCCAATTTCTGACTTCTACAATTGTTGAACTAAAAGAAACAACTATCAAATAAGATAGTCTTATATATAAGAGACTACATAGCATCCAATTATAAAGAAGAGGACTTTATCCCGAGCATACATCTCAACCCTTCTTCATACCATTGCCTTTTCCCTAGCTCTACTAGTTTTTTCGTAGTTGATGAATTTATTTTAGTACAACCACAAATAGTTCGATCAAGCTACTCAAACTAGTACAGACGTAGTGTGGTGAATAAATACACAAATTAAGTTGAAACTTTAAAAAATAGTTTATCATATGAAGATTATCCTTCATGATGAGAGATCTGATGGATAATATACATACATACGCAGCGGAAGTGAGCAAGAATCGAAATAACAATCTAGATGCATAATACAACCTAGGATTAAACATGCATGATCATACATTATGATGCTTAGAGATAAGTAGAGAAAAATACAAACCTTTGTAGCTTTTCAAAAATCTTCAAATAGCTCTAATGAAGGACCACCAAGAGATCTTCCTAGCTATTCTCAAGGCTT